ACTGCGCTAGGCACAGGCATACAATGATGAATAAGAGAAAAGTAATTCTTATTTCCTTAAATCAACATATACTGACTTTTCTACCTATGAACCTATGAATACTTATCTGTATCTCTCATCTAGAAATATTTTATGATAACATTAGGTTCTATCTCCATTTTCTATTAGTGTAATCTCAATTGCATATCTTCCAGAAATGTATCCTCTTAAAGTCATCTTCATATTATATTCTCAATTACCATGCTTGATGTTTATGAGGTAAGGGAATTTCCTTGTAATTAAAAAAAAATTGCAATCCCAGTGATCCATGAAAGTCTATCAGGTATTCTTCATAAACTGCTGAAGCCCTGTGTTTAGAGTGGATGGAGATGAAAATATTCAGAAAGGGCTTAAGTGTAATTTGTAATTTTTTATTTTTTTAACTTTAAAAAAAATTGTTGGTCAAGTTGTAATTGGTTTTGAATGGCCACATGGGGCAAATCTGAACAAATGTGTATTTTTAGAGAGTTTGGTTAAACACATATTTTCAAAAAGTTTAGCTTATATTCAGTTTTAAATGACTGAAAAACTCCAATTCAGGTCAGGTTCCCCCAAATTTTTATTAAATGCACATAAAGATACACAAACAATGAAAGTGTCAAGTTATGTATAAATCCACCAGATTATCATAAAAACAGTAGAAAATCTGGGTTTCTTTCCTACTGCTTTTTTATTTAGAAGGCTTCCTAACTCCATTTCCTTGGGTAAGTTCCTAACTCTTAGAACTTAGTGTTTTGTAATAGAGACCTTTAGTAACAACTGCTTAATATTTGTTTTATTCAATGACTTCTACATGTGCTTAGTGATTATCTACTACATGTGAGACACTGCACTAGGTACAGGCATACAATGATGAACAGGTTCCAGAGATAGCCATTCCATCTGTGATCTCCAAAGAAAAAATATGAAAGACTTTTCTCTAATATCATTCATATTCTTAATGCAAAGATGTCAACACTCTGTTGTGAAGCATATGCCATCTCTGGAAACTAGATATGCTATGAGCATATAGAGTTGCTATGAAATAAAATCAAGAAAACATGCCACATGCCTGGAACAGAGTGTGGTGCATATTAGGGGCATAAATAATGAAAAAAATGAAATTGTTACTAAGGTTAATAAATAATGTATTCCAAATTCTAATGAGAATAAACATGAATTAATAAGAAAATGTTGAATTAATTTTTTAAAAAATCAAATAGATTTTAACATGTGGCATGCTCCTTCATAAAAGGGAGATCAATTGAAGAATTCATGGGAGCTGCCTTATGTCAGAAAACCTGAATAATCATCCTCTTGCCCCTCCAAATGTTCTCTGAAAGAGGTTTCAGAGATAGACAGCAATTTCATTTGTGATCTCCAAAGACAGAATATGAAAGACTTTTCTTTAATATCATTCAATTTCTGAATGCAAAGATGTCAACACTCAGTTTGTGAAACATATGCCTCTGTGAACATCTGGGAGGGAGGGCGGAAAGAGAAAAGGGAAGGTGGAACCATTCATTTCTCTTAATCTCTCTATTGCTGGCCATGAACACCATCATCTTTCTTATCTGGTGTCCTGGCATCCTAAACATGTCAGAGATTCTGGGAGAGAAGGCTTTGTATTTCTCCTGAGTATTCCTCTCAGTTGGTACTTTAGAGTTAGCCTTCTCTACTCTGCCAAATCAGTTATCATGCTTTTGTCTGTTCTTCTTCAAACATTTGTTGGAATTTTTTATCTGCATCTAACATCAGTCTCATTTTCTTTGTTCTTGTGAGTCTAAACTTTTTCCCCTTTTGTATTATTATTATTATTCCTATTATCATTTTTAAATTCTTATGAATAAAAACAAAAACTAAGGGAGTGGGGGATGGTAAAGGGTAAAAGGAGTCATAAATAGTAACAGAAGAAGATCTGAGTTTAAGTGGTAGGCACACAATGTAATACACAGGTTATTTTAGAATTATACACTTAAAACCTATATAATTGTACTAACCAATGTCACCCCAATAAATTAATAAAAAAGGAAAACTAATGTAGCCTGCAATTTTAAATATATCTTCAGTGCACTTATATTTATTTTTTAAATTAGATATTTAAAATGAGGATAAAATGTTCTTTTGGGGGGAAAGCAATGTAAAAAAATAGCTTTAGGAAAATACAACAAAATGGTGATTGCATATGGAAAGGTTGAAGGGGCAGATTATTCATTTTAAAGAGTTTTCAAAAGTTCTACTCACCAGCCACTGTTAATATCATACCAGCTGCAAAGGAGAGACTGGTAAATGCAATATTTTAGTGCGGTCACCATAAATAATGTCAAGTCTCTGTTACTAAGGGTGAAAAAGAACAATGGTTGTTGGGGTGACAGGCAGCAGACTGTCACAAGCAACTACTATGCATCTGTGCCAGCTCTGTGCCATAAATAGGGAATAAAAAGAAGAGATATGTTATTTACATCCTCAATATAGGGAAATGAGATAACAATCCATTAAAAGCCAAAAACCAGAAAACAGTGTTGGATACCATTTTATAAAATATATATAAGAATTCTTTTTCTTTAAGTTTCCCTTTCTATGTTTTTTTAAATAATAACACTTTTCATTTTACTTTTTTCTCCCTAAGAAGCTAAAGGAGTTATTTACCTCTGCTTTCCAGGAGACTTTCTTTCTTTTTTTTTTTTTGTTTCAAGTTCTTTTTTTTATTTAATTATTGTTCAAGTACAGTTTTCTGTCTTTTACTCCCATCCCAGCCCACCCCCCCCCAGGGCTCCCCATCTCCCTCCCATTTCCATGCCCCTTAGTTGTTGTCCATGTGTCCTTTATACTAGTTCCTGTAAATCCTTCCCCTTTTTTGCCCTGAAATTCCCTCCCCTCTCCCCTCTGGTCACTGTCCCCCTGTTCTCTATTTCAGTGTCTTTGGTTATATTTTGCTTGCTTGTTTGTTTTGTTGTTTAGCTTCCTGTTAAAGGTGAGATCATATGGTATTTGTCTTTCACCACCTGGCTTATTTTACTCAGCATAATGCTTTCCAGTTACATCCAAGCTGTTGCAAAGGGTAGGAGCTCCTTCTTTCTTTCTCCCTTTCTATGTTTTAAAAAAGATTTTATTTATTTATTTGTAGACAGAGGTGAAGGGAGAGAAATATCACTGTGTGGTTGCCTCTCACACCCCCTACTACTGGGGACCTGGCCTGCAACCCAGGCATGTGCGCTGACTGAGGACAAAACAGGTGACCCTTTGGTTTGCAGTCTGGTGCTCAGTCCCCTGAGCCACACCAGCCAGGGCACATACAGGAATTCTTAAAGCTTATAGAAAGCAAATGTTGGATGAAAGTAATCAGGGCAGACTGATTGAAAGGGCAGACATATCTTGAAAGATATGCCATAAAATAAGATCTGAAAACTGCCTCAGGACAAAAAATAATGCCTTTTCTGAAGAGCTGAGAATACTCAGCTGCTTTCCAACTTTACTAAGAACACAAGAAAAAAAGTGTACTTAATCCATTTTGTCCCTGAATATTAATGGTATATGTAATTAATCTATTTTGATTAATAAAATATTAGTAAACATTTTGAAAGAAACTATTTTAACTAAAAATTTATAATAGAAATACATCTCTTTGACTCAGTCATTTCAGTACTTCAAATGTCAAACCTTTTAGTTGCTCTAATTATTCTACTCCATGTATTGAAAAAAATACCCAAAACACTAATTTGAAAGAACATAAGCACCCCTATGTTCATTCCAGCGTTATTTATAATAACCAAGATATGGAAGCAGCCCAGGTGTCCATCAGTGGATGAGTAGATAAAACAACTACGGGACATTTACATAGTGGAATACTACTACTCAGCCATAAAAAAAAAAGAAGAAGAAAATTTTACCCTTTGTGACAGCATGGATGGACCTAGAGAACATTATGCTAAGTGAAATAAGCCAGCCAGAGAAAGACAAATATCATATGATTTCACTTATATGTGGAATCTAATTAACAAACTTAACTAACAAGGAAAATGGGGACAGACTCATGGATCAACAGCAGGATGACAGTTACTGGTAGAGGAAGGTAAGGGGGTGGAGAGATTGGGCAAAAAGAAAAAAAGGACTCATGAACAATAGTGTGGTGAGTGCAGGGGAGAGGAGGGTATAAGAGGGTTAAGTGGTAATGAAAAAATACAATAAAAATTTTTAAATAAGTAAGATTATTTTCAGTAAAAATAATATAACACTGGAGTGATATAGAATATTTCATTTCTTCAATAGGATCACTAACAAAGATTGCTCAAGACCAAAATATGTAAAATGTTCCTTTCTACACCCCCCACCTGGTACAGAAACCATCATTATGCAGTTTGTCAGTTTAAATTAACCCCTTCCTAGGATGCAGTGTATATTTCTATGTCTGCATTTTCTACATTTGTTATATTGTTATAATTATCTCTTTATGAATCTATTTCCCCTACTAGATTATGCAATATTTATGACAAAAGACTGGGGATGGGAGGGGGCAGAAGAGAGAGAGAGAGAATGAGAAGACAGCTCCTGGGACGTTGGACTTCTGTTTTTAGAAAAAAATATTCTGATTACTCAGAGATATATGCCTATTTCTCTTGTAAACCCATTCTAAATCATTGAATGATGGCTAAAGAGTGCTGGGACTCTTGCACTGAAGGGATCTAAATGAGATACTGAACTAGGAGTGTTTACTCTCCCACTCTAGAAGAGAAAATAAACCTTCCTAGCATTAAAAGATTTAAGTTTAGCCACCTAAAGGCAGAGAAATGAAATAGCCTCAAAGTATCCTGTTAAACTAAAAGTATGAAACAATTGAATTTTAGAGACTATTTATTTTATTGTTCAATTACATTTGCCCCCATTTCCCCCCTATTACTCTCCTCTCCCTATTTTAAAATAATTAATAAGTTAGGGGTGACTGAAGGTATTAGCCAGTTCTCTGACTTTGCACTTCTGACAATCTATCCACTCAGCTTTTCCCCCAGGGAGACCTTGCGAGTCCATAGCCATTTCACGGCATGCTTTACATCCTCATTCCTCAGAGTATAGATGAGGGGGTTTAGCATTGGGGTGATGGTGGTATAAAACACAGATACAGCCTTATCCAGTGGGAAAGTAGTGGATGGGCGGAGATAAATAAAAATACAAGGGACAAAGAAGAAAGTTACTACAGTAAAATGAGACCCACAGGTAGAAAGAGCCTTGCGCCGGCTCTCTGCAGACCGCTTCCGAAGACTCAATAGAATGACAGTGTAGGAGGCCAGAAGAATGAGGAAACACCCCAGGGAAATGAGACCACTATTGGCAACCACCAACATATTTACCAGGGTTGTATCAGCACAGGCGAGTTTCAGGACAGGGTGGACATCACAAAAGTAGTGGTCAATGACCTGAGCATTGCAGAAGGGCAGCTGAAAGGTCAGGAGGGTCTGAACTAAGGAATGGCCCAGGGCTCCTATCCAGGACAGCGAGACCAGCACGACACAAGCGCGGGCACTCATGATGGTGGTGTAACGGAGAGGTTGGCAGATGGCAGCATAACGGTCAAAAGCCATGACAGTCAGAACAAAAATCTCAGCACAACCAAAAAAGTGGAAGGTAAACATCTGAGTTACACAGCCCCAGTAGGAAATAGTCTTTTTGTCAGAAATCAAATCTGCAATCATCTTGGGTGCGGTGGCTGAGGAATAGGCAATGTCCACAAAGGACAGGTTACTGAGAAAGAAATACATGGGTGTGTGGAGCTGGGCAACAGAGAAGACTATAAGCAAAATGAGCAGATTTCCCACCATGATCACAATGTAGAAGAGGAGGAACAGGGCGAAGAACATCAATTGCATTCCAGGATCTTGGGAAAGTCCTAGGAATATAAACTCGGTGACGTTGCTGGTCACTTCCATGTGGCTCCAGGTAGGAACTGGTGGAGTGGCTCTGGTTCTCTGCAAAAATAAATAAATGCTTATAAACCATTTTAAGTGTGGTAAAGCATAACAAGAACAGTCTTGTTAGAATATATGTGTTGCTAAATATAGGAGAGAAAATCACTCATATTTCTTGAATATAGTTAATGGATATTTTTCTCATTAATTTTCTTACCACATAATGAACTTACATTTGATTTTCTGTTACATTCAGATGTACAGTTCCTTTCTCCCAACCAAGAACCTAGAGAATATAAATTTTTCTATTAAATTTAATGGAGTTTTTCAGATTTTCTCTCTCTCCCTCTCTCCTCCTCTTTCTCTTGTATCAGAAATTCTCTTTGAGAAAAAATTTTTTAATTAATTATTAAATGGATACATTAATTTTGAAGCTGGAGGTAAAAGCAAAAAATCAGTATCTGAGATATGATCTCTAAAATTCCTAGCTAAGTCTTTTTTGATATTTTATATATAGAGAGAGAAATAAATTTTTAAAAGACTAACATTCTATTCAATCAAATAATAAATACTCCATTTTCAGTTTCTAAATTAGGTTGGAATTTTAATACAATTAAGACATTCATTTCAATACATTTTTAGTGACTGAGAACATATACAGTGGCTTCCTGCTTATCAATAACCCATGTTTATTAATCAACATTGGAGGAGTTTTTTTGTGCACCAGTCTTGGTGATCGTAAAAGAAGGGAAAGTAACACTGAAGTTGGCCTCACAGCTCTGTAGTGTGTGGGCTAGTTTCAAACAAGGTAAAAAAAAAATTGGAGGAGTTTGAGTCCTAAGCCTTTATCTAGATGTAAAAATTCTAGTTTACTTGTCAGTTAGGAATTCATAAGGAGTGGTCCAATTACACAGAGAAATACTTTCTCCTATATTGCTATAAAGAGGTGAAAAGTTTTAAAATTATTAAATTCCCTCCCATCCTCAATCCATTTGCCTTGAAAAAGCCCCAGATAGGCTCCCGCCAACATGGAGGTGTAGGTGGAAACACTTTTTTTGCTTCCTCGCACAACCAAATCTAAAAATAATAAAGTTTTAGCAACAATAAACGCAACCAAACCACAGAAAATCGAACAATACAAAGTCCAAAAACAACAAAACGCTCAGCTAATCCAGTGAGAGGGGCAAAGCCAGCAGAGAAGCGGGTCAGGCAAAAAAGATCACCCAATCCAGGCGGTGCTCAAGCAGCTGAGGGCATGGATCCCAGGTGCAGGGTAGCTACGGGCGGTGGTGGACTCGCACATTTGCGCTCAGATAAACAGGTGGGGGCAAGCGGTGAGGCAGACCGGATGAGCGGAGAGGATGACCATTGCTCCCTCTCTGACCCCGCCCCCACATATAGCATCACAAACCAGCAATCTAGGTGGCCCCACCCTGGTGAACACCTAAGGTGCCTCTCCTCATATGTAACAGGCACAAACAGATCAAAACATGGCTCAAGAACAACTCAGAGCCCCAGAGCCAATAAATCTAAGCAATAAAGAAATAGCCAAACTTTCAGATGCACAGTTCAAAACACTGGTGATCAGGATGCTCACAGAACTGGTTGATTTTAGTCACAAATTAGAGGAACATATGAAGGCTAAACTAATTGAAATGAATGGAAATGCACAGGAAACCAATAGTAATGGAAAGGAAATTGGAACTCAAATCAAGGGAGCAGACCAGAAGGAAAAAAATGACCAAATAGAAAAATATGAAGAAACAAGAATTCAAAAAAATGAGGAGAGGCTTAGGAACCTCCAGGACATCTTTAAACGCTCCAACATCTGAATTATAGGAGTACCAGAAGAAGAAGAGGAAGAGCAGCAAATTGAAAACTTATTTGAACAAATAATAAAAGAGAACTTCCCCAATTTGGCAAAGGCAATAGACTTCCAGGAAATCCAGGAAGGTCAGAGAGTCCCAAAGAAGTTGGACCCAAGAAGAAACACACCAAGGCACATCATAATTACATTAGCCAAAATTAAAATGAAGGAGAGAATCCTAGAAGCAGCAAGAGCTAAGGGGACAGTCACCTACAAAGGAGTCCCCATCAGACTGTCAGCGGATTTCTCAAAAGAGACCTTACAGGCAAGAAGGGGCTGGAAAGAAGTATTCCAAGTCATGAAAACCAAAGACCTACAACCAAGACTGCTCTATCCAGCAAAGCTTTCCTTTAGAATGGAAGGACAGATAAAGTGCTTCTCAGATAAGACCAAATTCAAGGAGTTCATCATCACCAAGCCCTTATTATATAAAATGTTAAAGGGACTTACCTAAGAAAAAGAAGATAAAAAAATGAACAGTGATAGGACAGCAAACTCACAGTTATTAACAACCACACCTAAAACAAAAGCAAATTAAAAGGGCAGCTAGATCAGGAGTGAACCATAGAAATGAAGATCTCAGGGAGGGTTAGCAACAGGGGAATGGGAGAAGGAGAAGGGGGGAGAAGGTACAGAAAATAAGTAGCATAGACAGTAGATAGAAAATAGATGGGGGGTAAGAATAATATGGGAAATATAGAATCTAAAGAACTTGAGACACGTGTTCATGAACTAAAGGGGGGCTGCAGGGTGAAGGGGAATGAAGGGGGGAAATAGAATAAATGTAATGGCATAATCAGTAAAATAAAAAATATATTAAAAATAAAATAAAATAAACCAGTAACAAACTAACAAAAAAGCCCCAGATAATTCTCCATCTTTGCAATCACAAGTAAGAATTAGGAATATAATTTTTATACAGATGATGTTATAAATGGTATTTACAAAATTAACTGTCTGATACTGTTTTACAAACTCTGTATAAGAATGGCTAAGGCATACAGAGAAAACTATTGGATAAAAACAATCAAGAAAGCATTCTTATTTTTATTTATTTAATTATTTTTCAACTAAAGTATTCTGTCTTTTACTCCCATCCCAGCCCACCTCCCCATACCCCCCACCTCCCTCCCATTTCCACCTCCCTTAGTTGTTGTCCATGTGTCCTTTATACTAGTTCCTGTAAATCCTTCCCCTTTTTGCCCTGAAATTCCCTCTCCTCTCCCCTCTGGTCGCTGTCCCCCTGTTCTCTATTTCAGTGTCATTGTTTTTATTTTGCTTGCTTGTTTGTTTTGTTGTTTAGCTTTCTGTTAAAGGTGAGATCATATGGTATTTGTCTTTCACCACCTGGCTTATTTTACTCAGCATAATGCTTGCCAGTTCCATCCATGCTGTTGCAAAGGATAGGAGCTCCTCAAGAAAGCATTCTTGAAAGAGATGAACTATGAGACAAGATCTAAAGAAATTTTTCAGAATACATATAGCTTTTCTGAATCATGCAAATTACTAGCTATTCTTCACCTTTTCTGGGAACATCTCTTTTCTGATTGGACAGTGGAAAGAGCACTGCCCAGAAGCTGAGTGAGTCAAGTGTAAGCACCCTCACCAAATGGTACCTGTGGCTAATCTATTTATTTTTTATCTGAATCTCAGTTTTCTCATCTATAAAATGGATGATAACGTTATTTACCTCGCAAAGTTGTTACAAAAATAAAATGAAATTGACACTGTAAATTTTTTGTATTTACAAAGTGTTTGGCAATACAATTTGAAGCTATGAAGTAGGATCTCTCTAGTAAGTAGAATTTGCAATTTGACTTAGTCAGCTATTATATAAATATTATATAGACAACTACTAGGAAATATTAAAATTCATATATAATTCTATTCCTGAGATAATGAATTTTATATCTGCCCATTTTCACTGCAGAGATATTATTAGTAGTTAATATTTATTATGCAGTTTACTATGTGCAGGACTGTATGTTAAACTATTAGCCTGTAACCTCATCTACCCTCACAGCAACATTATAATTCCTATCTTTATTTTACAGAGCACCAAAATTTAAAAAGATTGGGTACATCAACCAATACAACATAGTCAGTGAAAGGCTTGGTATTTGAGTTGCTGTATTCTGTTTCCAAAACCCATGAAATAACATACCTCCTTAAATAAAGGATAGATAGAATGATAAGTAGAAAGATAATAGATGATAGACAGACATATAGGTAAATAAGTGTGATAGATAAATTCATGACAAAAATTACATTTAAAAAATCAATTGGTCTCTTATGGTGTGAAGTCTTTTCATTGGAGGATATGTTCCATGGCCTTAAATCTTTGAATAACCTATGAGACTATAGCAGTGAAGTCAAATTATGCTTGTTACCACCAATCAGTAAAAGTAAGAGTTGAAAAAATATTAAATAATAGAAAACACTTATAGTGTACTTACTGTGTGCCTGGTGTTGTTCCAAGTGATAATAACATTTAATTCTCAACAATTTTATGAGGTAGTCTATCATCATTATCCTCACTTCAGAGATGAAGAAACTAAAGCACAGAGAGAATAATTTGCCCAAAGTCACAGAGCTAGTTATTCAGAGTTGGTATTTGAACTTAGGCAATGGGACTAAAAATTTATTTTCTTAATGAATATGCATATGTCTGAGTCTGATGACATCAAAGTCACCATAATTCTGCTAATTATGAAGAGTTTTGTGTATTTTTTAACTACATCTAGTATTTAGAGACAAAGACTACAGTTGCAACTGGCAAGGTCATCACAACATACAAAATTTGTGCCTAGGTTTACTCAAATCAAACTTAAAATAAGAACGCAGCCCTGACTGGTGTTTGAGCACCAGACTGCAAACCAAAGGGTTACCAGTTGGATTCTGAGTTAGGGCACATGCTTGGGTTGCAGGCCAGGCCCCGAGTAGGAGACGCATAAGGGGCAACCATACACTGATGTTTCTCTCCCTCTCCTTTTTCCTCCCTTTCCCTCCCTCTAAAAATAAATAAATAAGATCTTTAAAAAAGAATGCAATAACAAGTGATGTGATATTAATTGTTAATATAGGCATTATTTCATTTGATGTGTTATTGACAATCAAATAAAGTTGAAGAGTTGGAATTTATCTTGAACAATTT